CCCCCCCCCCCCCCCCTTGATGGTACCATACATTGCAAGACCTGGTTGCATGGAGTGCGATATATAGCGCTACATGGATTTGACTGAAATTAATGAGTGTGGGGAGGGATGTGCCCATGTATAAGTGTGCTGTGATGATTTTATAACCCATATATCGCATATTAAGTGTCCTCTGTCATTAAGAACCTCTTTGAGGGTAGAATACCAGCACAGGCTGTCTTAGGGCTGCCACCTGTCCAGGATTCACCCGGACAGTTCGGGTTTTGAATGCTGTGTTCGGGTTTCATGGCAGCAGAAACCCGGACACAAGATGTTAGGCAGAAAGGGGCAACCAAAATTAGGATAGGGGCTACTGGCCCCCTCTGAAAATAGTCTCTACTGTGATATTTACATATGAATGGGCGGAACTTTTTACATTTGAACAAGCCACGACTCATTCTCCCACAAAAATGACCGTGCGTTGCTGGAGTGTTCGAGTTTTGCTTGAAGAAAAGGTGGCAACCCTACTCTGTCTTCATGACTCCAGTTCAATTACACTGGTATTGATTGGAATATTGACACTGATTATCCCGCACCCAACTCCATGCACACTTCTCCCAGGCTCTGCTCTTCACTGCCCATACCTCATCCTCCTCTGTGTAACCAGCTGTCTTCTCTCCGGTGTACCGAGCTGCCCAGGACAGCAACTCAGCCCAAGGGCTGGAGAAGCGGCTCTGGTTGCTAGGCGACCACGTACACGTACGTGAAATACGTCATTCGTGCGTCTAGGGAGGTGGGAGAGAGTGACGTCAGGGGCGGAGCTTCGTTGTGTTGTCTCTGTGGGTTCCTATGTTGTGTGTATAGATGTGTGCTGTGTTTATGGCAGTGTGCGGTTATTACAGATGAGGTGGTCTAGCTCCTCCAGTGAGGGTTCTGTGTAACCCCGGATAGTGTGCTTAGCATTATATATATATATATATATATGCACGTGTTGTTATGAGGATAATAATAATGTAGTGCATTGCAGGCACGTTATAGCTGAAGTGAACAAGGAGCAGTGAAGGAATCCTGAGGCTGCATTCACACTGACATTCCTGCATATACGTTATGTAAACGCAGGAGCAGTTATCTGGGAAGCATATCCGGCTTTTAGGCTCCGTCAGCTTATTACATTGCTGTAACACCTGCATTCTCGTGCACGTTACCACACTATATGCGATGGTGGTTCCATTCATTTTAAAGGCACCTCAGCAAAACTTGCTGCCAAAAAAAGGGTGCCGGTCCAGTTTCTGAGCTGTTGAGGTGCATTTTGAATGGGCTGCTTAACGCACATGCTTTATTGCATTGGTGTTAACATATGTGCGTTGTTGCAACTCAACCCATTACAGGGATCCCAACCTGAAAGAATCAATTTCAGGGGGTGTTGAAATGATGGCAGATAGCACAGGAAGCAATAGCTTCTTTGCTATCTGCATGCTTTTTTTTTTTTTGGTATTCTGACAGTTGCAGTCTTCAGAATAATTGTTTTTAATAAAGGCATAAGAATGCATAGCTATATTCCTATTGGCTATTTCACTTTGCAATAGCCAATAGCAAACTAGCTATTGCACCCACCCACTGCTGCTTTCAATCACCAGAAGAGGACCTGATAGAAAAATTCAGGTCCACCTCTGCTGATTGACAGCAGCAGATGGCGGGTGCATTAGCCAATAGGAATCTAGCTATGCATTCGTATGCCTTTTTTCTTTTCTGACTGACGGTCGGGCTGCGGCTCCCG